AAATGTGCCGAACTGAACCCCCCGCGTCGTCTCGTGTTCAGCCTTAATTAGTCGACCATAGCACTCGTCCCGTGTATGGACCTACGAAGGATGACATCAGCATCCGTACGGGGCACGGGCAATGCACGCGGGTATCCTACACCCGTATGGGCCACGATCACACACCCTCAGCCCGTCTTTTATTAACCCAAAGGATGAACGGAGGAGCAAGCGTCATAGAGCCGCTAAGGAAAGTTCCACAGTCGAGGCCTACGCCTCCACGCGAATCTACTATACTATCTTCAGTCGAAGCCGATGCCTAGACACAACTCGCTAACTAACCTCGATCACTACGACCTCGAGAGTGGGGCAAATAATGTAGGGGTATTTGGTCGACCTATGGATCTTGACATGGGTCGTCGGCCGAATGCATCCTGACCATCTTGTGGATCCTGACACTTGGCGTCAGTCGGGTGCATCCTGACCATCCATCATCAACCACTACCAACCATCGCCACCTGCTCCCAACTACCCCTCTTCTAAGACAACTCTAGCTATAAAAGGGGCTCCTACATTTAGGTAAAGACTTAAGCTCTAAGTTTCCTCACTTGCTTGGTCCGACCCCTCACAACTATTAGCTAACTTGACCGTTAGAGTCTTCACCCTTGGGATAACTCCCAGGGCCTCTGACGTCTTCTTTCTCTTAGCAAGTTGGACCCATTAGCCTCAGACACTAAAATTACATTATTACCCTCAGCTCCTCATTTGACATCAACAAAAATCATGGTTAAAAATGTACTGTAAAGAAAAATATATCCCCAAGTCTAAGGTGCATTTGATTTTGATTCTAATCACTCAACGCAAATAAAATAATCAACTTTGGACATACCATCTGTAGTGATTCCAATAACTCGAATCATGGTGTTCTATTTTAGTAATTTCTAGCTTCTTTACATTCCGACCACTCAATCTAAATAAAATAATCAACTTTGGACATGCCATTTGTAGTGATTCCAATAACTCAAATCATGGTGTTCCATTTTAGTAATTTCTTGCTTCTTTACACTAAATCAATTTTAGTAGGATTAATAAAATGCTATTAGAGTTGCTTAGTAATTAAGAGTCCTTATTTTAGTTAAGGGAGCAATTAAGGCATCATTCGCTTTTCGGTAAGTTATTTACCCAAGTAAATGCAATTACCTAGGTAAGTTTTTCCTAGGAAACACTTATCCAGGTAAGTGCATTTATCCATGTTCTTTTATGTCCCAGGTAAATAAGACAATGACTATTTTATCCATAGAAATCCATTATTAAAAAGGGCATTTTTGTCCATTCAAGTATTGGCAACTTTCCCCCTATGTGGGAAAGTTATTTACCCACCTAGGAGATGGGTATCACTTTTCTGGGTAAGTGAAAGATAGGAAAATAAACTTCCCTGGTCCCCACATAAAGCTGAAAAAAAAACATGGGATTCTTGGTCAATGGGAACCAAAATCCCATTGACCAACTTCCCCCCCCCCTCCAAATCCAAAAAAAGAACGCCCCTAAATCTTACTTTGGGTAAGGTAAGGTTATGGATTTGGAACCCAATAGGTCTCTCTATTCATATTTGCTGATATAAACATTATATATACTAGGTTAATAACTTTAAAATTCAATTGATTGGATATTTTTAGTGTAATATAAGCATGATATTCCTTTAGTACCATAACTTTGTTCCCATAATATTTTAACTATATAATGCAGATGGTTGCCTTGGCTTCACATCTAGACCACCATGTGAAAAATTTAGGGCCTGTTTGGCGCATTTTTTGAAAAGATCTTCTTATAGCTCTGACAATCAAAAGACGCATTGAGCTTTTGACATAAGATTTATGCAGCCCAAAAACAGTTTGGCAGACGTGCGTCTGTCCACGTCTTTCCGCACAAGATTAAAACGCAAAAGACGCGGGCTTCTCACGTCTTTTTGGCGCACTGTCTTTTGGCGGCTAGATCTTTCGCGAGCCAAACGGGAATAGACCGAAAACCAGTCTTCCCAACTTATAAACAACTGAAAGACCATTCGGAAAGACATGCCAAATAGGCCCTTATTTTACATATTTTCGTCTATTTGCTTATGTAACTCAACCAATGTACATTAATGATAAAAGCTAGTTAACTCTAATTGACTAATCAAAGTAAGAGGGGACATATTTTCTTTAAAGCAAAAAATAAAAAGGGCGAAGAAAACTCGAAACTAGCCCGAATCAATCCCATTCCACCCCAATCTCATCAATTTGGGTTAGGAAGGGCTAGTGTTGGGAGTTCAACAACTCAGTTGGTCAAGTTTGACTTAAACCTAAACTAACCTTTCCTAGCCTATACTCCTAATTTGAGTAACTTATGAATTATTTATAGGTTTTATCTTAGTTCTAAAGTAATTAGGAGTTGTGTTGGGTTAGTTGTTTTGTCCAAATTGCAGTCAGCTCTATAAATGAAATCATTATAATTGAAAAAAAGGAGGGCTGATTTTTTTAGAAGCCCACATTCAATCATCAACGAGAAAGATACAATATTGCAATTCCTCAGTTGTTGTGGATGCTTATAAGTTAGTGGTTCAGAATTAGCCACCAACAGAAGCTCAACAAATAGTTTTTGCATCACCTTCAATTATCATGTGTGAAATCTGAAGCTCATGTGCCATCTTGAGACCCTCGAAAAATGCATGGGCTTCTGCTATTGAGATCCTCAAGCTGATATGATGAATAAAAGTTTGCTTTAGTAAATTTAAGCTATAATAAGTATTCCCCCCTTTTTCTCTCACTTATTCTTCTAGCCAATCTATCGAGTTGTACACTCTAATAGCCAGAATTCTTTATTTTCTTTTTAATCTCTTGTTCATTCTTTGGTGAATGGGCTGTTTACTTCTTTGTATTTAATCACTCAAATCACCTACTACCCTACAAAGCCTAATATAAAAGTTTAAAACTTGGATTGGACTGTGTTGCTACTATTTGATCTATTTTTTGTTGATTAAGGAAGCAAGCAAATACACTGATCTAGCTGCCCATTATGCTAAAATCAAAATTTCAACCAAAATTGTTTATATAGTATAAAAAATCTAAATATTGATCAATGTACATCCGTTTAATGTCAAGTAGGGGTATCGAACAGAATTCAAATATCTGATTTCGAATTTGAAATCTAATGTAATTGAATGGAATTCGAATATGTATTGATTTGATTCGATGATAATCATAATGAAAATAATATAATATTATATATATTATTTACAAATGTCTTAATATTTTTATAAAAGAAAGACGTGTTTTAAGAGACTTTTGTTTATTATAAAAAACTAAAGACATCCCCAAAAATCAAAACAACAAATAACAATTAAATCCCTAGGAGTGGAACTATTGCAGACTTCATTAAAATGAGCATGATTAATAAGCCAATTTGCAGCCATATTCCTTTCTCTGAAGACATGGCGATAATCCACCTTTCCTTCAAGCCTCTCAAATAGCACCTTGCAGCCTTCAATAAGCAACTTCACTCTCCACGTGGGGTTAGTAGCACTCTTCAGACAGTCGATCACCAGCTTAGAATCACTTTCAATGACAATGGACCTTTAGGAAAATTAAGAGCAATATTGTGGGCTTCCCATGCAGCCTAGGTCCTGCCACATTGATAGTAGAAATGCCTAATTTATAAGCCTTGAAGTCCAATATTCGGCCCATATGGTCTCTAGCTATACAAACTATCGAACAACTACCACAAGAGGCATCAAAGTTGACTTTAATGACCTCTAATCCAGGACTTGACCATCTAATAGGAATAATTTCTCGTCTCCTCTGATTGATCACATCCCTTTCCTCACTAACTTGGATCTCAGCCCAGGAATTTCACACTCTCTCAATAATAACGGGAGGAGCCAAATTTCTTTTGTTAAAAACTCTATTATTAATAACTTTGCTCAATCTCATCTCCCTCATTTCCCTCCCTCTCTCTATCATTCATTCTCTCTTTTCTTTTACTGATCACCTTCCCTATACTGTCTACAACTACTGATTTTTATAACAGTTCCAAAAGAATGAATAGCACAAAGAGAAGGTGAAGAAGATTATGTATTGGTGAAACAAGAGCGCTTCACAGTTCGACTTATGTTAGTTGGAACTATCGTCCATTGGTTTTATGGTAATCGAAAGCATTTGTAGAAATCTCTCTCTCTCTCTACATAACTAGCAGCTAGTGACAAAAAAACTTAGTTGTTTGCTTGTTCTAGATTTTATTAGGTCATTTATTTTTATTTTCCTCATATTCTTTGTCTTTCTTTGTTGTTTACATAAACATGACTGTATTCGTAGTTCAAAGGGAACAAGAGGGCTCATTGTTTGGTTTGATTTCACGATTTAGGGTAAATTGGTTGAATTCAAATTAATGAATTATTTGATTATCTAATCGAATTCAAATTTAGTCTTTATTTTTAAATATATATCAACTATTGAATTGAATCCAAATCACCACTTCTATAATCAAATTTGAATTCAGATATGACATGATTCAATTAGAATTAGCTTTACTTACAAGCTTAGTGTGAACGCCCAACATTTGAGGGTGTTTTAGTTATTTACAAAACAACCTTCATTCAGGGGAATTTTGGATAATTAAAACATTCCAATTATCCCAAAATTGGATGGTGATTTTGGGGTATATAGATGAGCATAGAGTTGCCATAAAAGTGTTGTATCAAAATTCCCCTCTCTCAAAAACAAAACTATCTTGGATAATTAAATTATTCCAATTATCCAAAACTTGGATATTTGGGTGGAGATTTTAGGGTATATGGATGAACATAGGCTTACATAAAAGCGTTACATCCTAGCACCCCTCTTTCAAAAATAAAATATTTTGGTCATTAAAACATTTTAATTATCCAAAAATTGGATGAAGATTTTAGGGTATATAAATGAACAATGGGTGGAGATTTTAGGGCATCTAGGTGAACATGGAGATTTTAGGGTACATGGATGAAGTGAGAGACTGAGAGTTGTCCAAAAGCGTTGCATCCTATATAACTTCCCTTTTAAAAATAAAATAACCAGAATCTGAATCCAAGATCATGTTACGGGGCCCGGACTTGCACGCATTAATCTTGCCTCAAGACTCAAGAGAAGTCTCGAGCATATAATAGGGTCCAGGCCAGGGATTTACCGGTGCGGACCCGACAAGTTGACCACGGGAAAGCAGGCACAGAGGGTTCCTCTTCCTGGCTGTGGAATAGATTCAGCACTCGCTGTTTGAAGGATAAGAAGCGTCTTCTACCGTTTGCAGAAATTCGGAAGAAACCCAGAACACAGAAGGGTCTCTTTCTCATAAGCACAGACGCGCGTACGCTTAACCCTGGTACTCATATTCCGGTACTCGCCAGGATCTCAGTGGTAACGGCAGACAATAGCTTTCGGAGATGTTGCTGATCTGTGGGGATGGCTTGCCTGATCAATTTGGCGTAATCTATAACGAATCCATATAAAAAGGGGTCTGTAAATTTTAAACCTTCTATTTGTTTTTTTTTTTTCGTTGAAATTGGGTTTTCTATACTAATTCACGAGTTCCCAGTGGCAACTCGTGTGATTTTTATTTGTTGTAAATCAATTTTAGGATTCTGGGTTGCTTCTTTTTCTTTCTTCTTCTAGTTTCCCACTAGTTTCCACTGTTGTACTCACTGTTTTGCTTCATTCTAATCAAGCTAATTAGGTTTTTTATTTTCAACCTTGTAATTTAGATTATTCTTTTATTTAAACAATTGTCCTGACTTTGGAGTTTTGGATTTTTAATTTTGTTTTCTGTTTTCTGTTTTCTTTTTTGTGGTGGTCTTGCGCGGGTTTTGGGGGCGGGGGCGGGGATTTGATTTTTTCCTTTTTTTTTTTTGTTTCACCCAAAGTCCTATAACCAAGGGAACCTTTTCTTTTTTCTCGTAACTGAGATTAGATTTTTTTTCTGTTTTTTTTGTTACAGATGCATATCACTATTTTCTTTAGGACTTTAATCTACATTATTTATTTTTTGTTTTCAAAATTTCATGATGATTATGTTATCTTTTTTTTTGCGGTTTTAGAAATTTACATTTTTTCTCACATAACTGATCCTGGAATTATAAAGTGAGGTTAATTTGTTATTGAAGGAGAGAAGTTGATTCTCGAGATAAAAAGGAAAAAAAAAAGGCACAAACCTATTGATTTGGTGTTTAGAGTCCAAATAAAACAATTTAGACAGAGAGATTCTCTCCCATTTTATGTTTAGGAAGTAAAATAAACAGAATGGAAGTAAAAATAATTGCATGAACTTAGTGCAAACTCTAAGTAGAATGAGTTGATTGTTTTGTTTTAACCCCAGTTCAATCACATGAATTCCACCTTTATTGTGATTCAACTGGACTGACGTGAATCCCTGTCAAGTGACTCAAGTCCTTCAATAAAAAAACTCACAGGGGTACCTATCATTCAATTCAAACCATGCTTTGGCTTATCTAATTTCAGGTTTAGATTGCTGATGGCAAAAGGTTCTACTATGGACAGTTGGTTCCTCCTTTGAGAGAGGAAAAAGAATGACTTACATTTTAAACTCATTGAGAATGGAAACCCAATGGAATAGAAAGCCTACTTCTCTCATGACCTCCAAGGCTACAACCCACTGTGTTCCTCCACGGTGTGGTTGCTTTGTCATGAATGAGCTCCTGCCATGATCAAAGCATTCTGGAAGGAGTAATGGAGTTGAAGGTTTTAGGGGAAGGTGGTCAAAGTGGATTTGTGCACAAATTGCTTGGAGTTTAGGCGAGGTGAGCAATAAAAAGCGCTAGTCACCTAGGTGTCGCCTTGACAACTATGCTCTCTAAGCATGATTAATTGAAGATAGAAGTGCTTAGTAATGCAAACTAGACAGGATTTCTTGATGATAGGAGATTTACGTTGGATTTTTGTGCATTTGTAGGAGGGAATATGATGTCTTGGAAAAGCAAGAAGCAGTTGCGCAGTCGGTTGTTGCTTGTTCAAGTGCAGAGGCAGAATGCAAGTCCATGACATGTGGGCTCTCAGAGTCTCTTTGTCTAAGGCCCTTACTTGGAGAGTTGGGAAATTAGTGGGAGATGTCATTAATACTATATTGTAACAAGGCAGCTATTAACATCACCCTTGATATACGGTTTAGCATGACCACACCAAGCATATTGAGGTGGGTTATCATTTTGTTAGTGAGGTGTTGTTAGGAGATGTTTGCCTACTCTATTTGCAAACTGATCAGCAATTAGTATATTTACCAAGGTGGGTTCCTTGGTTGAAGTTGTAGACTGCATTGTAAGTAGGGAATACTTGACATCTATTGATTCTATTCCCAATTTGAGGGAGAGTGATGATGGGCTAGGCTTCTTTTATTCTTTATTTATTTTTTGTTATTTATGGGCTAATGTGTTATGGGGTGCATGGGTCAATATCATATTATTAGTTGCCTCCTCCTTAAGGGCATAGGTGTAATTTACCTTTTTATTGCTCTCTTAATATAAATGACAATGGGGGAGTTTTAGAGCCTCGCAATCTGATTGTGCAATATCTTTCTTCTCTTTTCTTCCTCTTCAATTCTAGTCTTAGTTTTTCTTCCTTTCTTCTTTTATTTTGCATTTTCTTGAATAATTTCTAGTGTGAGTTAAGCTTACTCTGTTAAAGGTTATCTTCTTTCTTTGGTTGGCAATCAAAGGTAAATTATTGATGATTGATGTCCTTAGATCCAAAGGGATGATCATTATAAGTAGATGCTATCTGTGTTGAGATGCAGAGGAGTCCATTCAGCATTTGCTCACTCATTGCTGCTTCTCATTGATGTCCTTAGATCCAAAGGGATGATCATTGAAGGGCTTTCTTTGCTGATATTCAAGGATTATTTTCTTCTTGGAAGTTGAAGGCCTTCATCAAGTGAGATAAATTTTTATGGAAAATGGTCCCTCTTGCTACCTGCTCGGGTATTTGGAGAGAATGTACAATAGATCATTTCAAAACCAGTTGGCTGTGGCGGTGGTGGTGGTGGTGCTTGCTTGAATTGAGAGGTTATTAATAAAGATAGTGTTTGGCATTGATGCCATTTTCTGAGAAAATGGTGCCATGTAGGCGCCACATCAGAGAAAGCAATGCTTCAAACGACATCCTCTTGTTTGGTATCGTTTTTCTAGAAAAAACATTGCTCCAAACCATGCCTTGGAAATCGGGAAAGTGTGGTTTGGAGCAACACCAAATTCAATGTTTTATGAGAAAATGGTGCGTTGCTGCCAGCGGTGCAATGATGTGGCATCAATATGGCATCATCTTGGATGTTGGATAATATAGACCATGTTGAAAACGTTGCAGCCAGCACTGGTACCAAACAAAACCAGTTCTGTTTTCTCAGAAAATATTCTATGTGGCAGCACTGGTTCCAAACAAAAAGTAAGCACCGTTTTCTCTTACATCTCCACATGCCCAGCACCGTTTTTCTCAGAAAACGGTGCGATGTTCCCAGCACCGATGCCAAACACCTACAAAGAGGATCTCCTAAGTGGGGGTGGTTTTTGGGAGTCCGGATCACCTGCCAACAAAACATGTTCCAACCCTCTACCAACGTGACCTTATACCACACATCTCATATATGGCGGGTCTCTGTCTCATGGTGAGATATGCGGTGTTAGATGAAGTTGGTAGAGGGTTGGAATGTGTTTTTGGAATTCAAATGCAACCACGTTCAAAATCATTGGGGTAGTACTCTTTGGGATGATTGTTATATTGTATGCTTTTATTGTAGATTTAGAGACCATGCTTGGCTCTTTGTACTTCTGGGTATTCGAGTGGGATACCTTGCCTTTGACATGTTTCTTGGGAGGAGTAACATGAAGCTTCGAGTGATAGGTGTATTAAATACCCCTAAATAAAGGGGGAATTGATCAATGGCCAATTCTGTAATTGATAAATAGGAATTGCTAGTTGTACCTCATGAAAAAGACTTATTTGTGGAACTATTTCATATTTTTAGAAAGAAAATCTTTTCAAATAAACCAATAAGGCATGGTTGGTTCTATTGTTGCATATATAGGCTTAAGGTAAAGGCATAAAGGCATAATTGTTGAGGCAAATAGGGGCTAAATGACTTAAAACTAGCTTGATAGCCTAGCCTTTGCACATGTGAAGTCCAATAAGGAACCCATTATTTGCCTGGAGCAATACCTAAGAATCTATCAACCAAGTAGTGACCAAGAAAATCTAGTTGGTCTTTTAGTGAAGATATTAACTACTAGGTAGTTGCTCTTCCAGTTGGTCTCCCCCTCAAGTTGGAGCATATATATCATATGGTTCTAGCTTGTTACAAAAAGAGTCCATCCTTGACTGACCTAGGCTTTTGGTGAAGATATTAGCTACTTGGTCTTCTGATTTGATATATGGTGTGACAATATCCCCACTTGTTACTTCTTCTCTCGCAAAATGGCAGTCAACTTTGATATGTTTTGTTCTTTTTCATGAAACATTGGATTTGAAGCAATATGTGTAGCGACTTGGTTGTCACAAAATAGTTGGATGAGTTTGCTAATTGGAATGCAGGGGAGGAAAAGAGAGAACATAGGATAAATTGGGAAATAGTGTGCAGGGATAAGAATGTAGGGGGTTTGGGAAGGCCATTAATGCAATTTTACCTTTGTTCCTTCCTACCATTAGATACGACCTTTGTAGCGGTAACAATGTTAAATTTTGGGAACACATTTGGCTGGGAGACTCCCCTTTGAAGGACTAATTTCCCTCTTTCTTTGCCCTCTCAAGCTTTAAAAATGAGTCCGTCTCTAAGTTTCTTGTCCAATCTGCACCTTCACTTAATGGGGTTAATTGGGATTTGGGACTTGGGTTTCTGGAGGGGTATTTGAGACTTAGAACTTCAGTGTCTTCTTAGCTTCTTACAGTTGTTGGAAGGAGTTTTCATTTAACCTTCAAGGCCTGATAGCTGAGTTTGGCCTTGTACCCCATTGGGGTCCTTTTCATGTGCATCTTTCTTTAAAACTTTGCTACAAACATCCTATAGTGGTCTGCTTCCTTTTCCAGCGAAAGATGTGTGTTGCTAAGCTATTTCACCTACGATTGTTGCCTTTTGTTGGGAAGTTGCCCATGGAAAGATGAAAGAAAGCGGCCAAATTGGTGTTTATTCCCTCATTGGTGTGTATTATGTAAGGCTGATGGTGAGAGTTTCTTTCACCTTTTTAACTCTTGTTCCTTCACTACTTCTATTTGGGATTGGTGCCTTTCTCTTTTTGGGTGCAGGTGGAATCCTCCGGTGGATGTTCAAAGCTTATTTGACACAAATACCTTTGGATGACCAACAAAGAGAGGGAGGTTAATGTGGAGTTGCATTAGAGCTGCTGTTATCTAGACTGTTTGGGAAGAAATAAATGCAAGAATCTTCTCAGAGAAAGAAAGGGATAAAAGTGATATCTTTGAAACAACCAAGATTAAAGTGGTGCATTGGCTGAAATCCTTGGCAACCTTCTCTCATGTGTCAACAAATGATCTAACAAGAAGTTGGAAGGAAGTAGCAAATTCTACAGTCCATAAGATAATTATCAAACACACTTGGTTGCCACTGAATAGAGGTTTATTCAGCTAAATTTTGATGGTAGCAGCTTGGGGAATCCTGGACCTTAAGGTATTGGAGGTATTTTTAGAGACGAGGAGGGTAAATTCATTGCTTTGTTCTCAGGGCCAGTTGGAGAAGGAGACTCCTTGAGAGCAGAAGTGTTAGTAGTAGTGGAAGGCATTCAAAGGGCAAAGCTAATGAACATTCAAAAGCTATTTGTTGAAGGAGACTCTAAACTGGTGATTAGTAGGTTACAAGATGGGGGTTTGAATTGTGGCTTTTTAACAATGAAAGGAAGAAGATCGGGCGACTAACCAGAGATTTGGAAATAATTGCTGGGTGGGTTAAGAGATCTGCTAATTTTGTAGTAGATGCCTTAGCCAAACAAGGGGTGGAGAGAGACTCATTATTCTTGGCACAATTGTAAGGGATCTGGCTATATTTGGGGAGAGATAAGAGGTTTTATCTCTCACAACCTATTTGCATTTAATGTATTGTACCATCTTTCTTAATTAATAAAATGTTGAGTTATTGATAAAAAAAAGGAAATGCTTTAACCGGATCAATTCATAGGTAGCATGAGCCATTGCCCTATACTCACTACCCAATTAGCATCTGAATATCCCTCTAGAGATAAGTCTCCCCCTTTCTTATACAATAACTTATGACCCGGAGCACCCTTTAAATATCTCACTCTTACAACACCATCCCAATGAGTAGTTGTGGGATTTTGCATGATTTGACTGAGAATTGCAACATTGAATGTGATGTCGTGTCTAGTGATAGTAAGGTAGATTAGCTTACCTACAAGGCTACAAGTCTCCTATACTTTGCTGGATCATCTAATGGCTTCCCCTGACTATCAATCATCTTCATGTTGGGATCCATAGGACTTTCCACTAGTTTGAATCCCAACAACCTGGCTTCCTTTATCATATCTAGAACATATTTTCTGAGAGGGAGATTCCCCATGTAGAGAGACTGGGCCAAATGGGCCATAGTACTTGTTTATGTTTAAAGTAGCATCATGTTTACATTTTATGTGTTAATGGGCCTGTTAACTTGTTTTGTGTTTCTTTTAAGTTATTTAAGTGCTGGCCACCCACTTAAGGGCAGAGGTGTAATTAGTCATAGTTAAGTGAGTTTAATTAAAGATTAAGAAAGAGAGAGAGAGGAGGAAACCATCAAACTCTCTTCCCCAATTCTCCTTTATCTTGTTCTTCTCCATCTTATTTTTCCTTCTACTGTAATCACCTCTTTTTATTGCTATAATCAGGTTAAATTATCAGATTTGAAGGACCGTTTTACATCTTGGTATTAGAGCAGTTTTTTCCCTCTTCCTTTTTTTTTTTTTTTCTTTTCTTTTCCCATACACCCTTCAATTAGAAGAGTGTTTTGCCTAGTTGGTAGAGGGTTTGGAGAGTTAAAGTCTGGCCGAATAGTGTCAAGAAGTGGAGCTGTTATTTTTCTGTCCAAAACCCTAGCCGACTAGAGGGATTTCAAGTTACAGGATAAGGAGAAGGATTGGGTATGTCACTTAGGGCTTGGGAGGTCTCTTTTAATCCCTAGAAGGGGGCGGTTGAGGTTTGAAGAAG